TGCTCTTCCGATCTCCCCAAAACCCCAAAACCCCACGATTCAACTGAAACATTAATGTTAAAGACTTTGAAAATTAAAAAGAATTAAAATTTATTTACATTTGCTAAATAATGAGTCTCAGAAGAAAAGAGTAAGACAATATGTCTGAATAGGTAGAGTATCTAAGGGAATAAAATCAAGTAAGATTGAATTCTTAAATTTAACTCCTTCACTCAGAATTTGATCGACCGAATCTAGGAATTAAGAGCCTAGCAAAACGATTCTTAGCAAAAACTGCTTAGTGAGATCGCGTATTTACAGTAAAAGTAGGTTAATTAATCTCTCTAATCAAAATCTTTAACGTAGAAACGAAAGGAGTCAATTGAGAGCAGATGCCTTGCAATAATAGTTAGATCAAATAAGCATTGATAGATAGCAGCCTCTGATAAACAGTATTCAGTCTCTAAAAAATGAGTTGAATTAGGTTAAAAACCATAACTTACAGCTAAGCAATAAACTTAATGAAGCAAATAATGAAAATAATTTCCTCAAGTATTAGCTTGGCCAAAAGTCTATAGATGATAGATCAACTGAAGTGAAATCCCCTGAGAGGGATACTTTACTGGTTTAAAGCTAATATTCGCCTGAGCGTTAGATGAGATCATCAACAAACAAATCTTTCCATACTCCACACCATAACTATTCACTGGCTATGCATGATCTGGGAGGTAATACAAGCACAACATATGATAGACAGTGGTAAGATCAGTACCAAAATGAGTCTAGATATGAACCAATTACTGACTACTAAAAATATTATATAAAGGCAAAGGATAAAACAAACTCTGATTGCCTCTCAGCAGAGAAAACTAAAGCAACTATTGATCGTTCTTATTAAGACAGACTTCTCAAAAGTATTGAGAGGAAAGCTATGAAAGACTTAAACGGAGTTATGAAATACCATTAAGTTAGAATTGATCATCCAGCTGATGATGTTTCCCGCAAGAATTAACTTTATGCTAGTGTTCATGCTGACAGAGATTATGATGGAGGGCAATATATCAAATTTCATTCAGACTTACTCAGAGAAAAGAGATCATAACTAACTTCCCCTTAAAAGACACCAAGCAATAGAATGAATAACAATATGAAGGAGCAATACATGGACTTTGTAGTTAAGAGAGATATCATTAAAGGGGATGACAGCGATTTGAATCAGAGTCCTTCAGCTGAGAAAAGTAATTTCTTAACATTTATTAATTGTTCTTATTAGGAAGAAAACTTATGCAATAAAAACTCTAAGCTGACTTAAGTCGAAGCAGTTAGAAGTAAAGAGAAACCCCGAATAGTAAGAAAAGTAATGGAGGAAACAACAATTACCATACATTTGAAAGCTTTGACGAAAGGTCAGCATCAGCTTTTGCGACTTTGAATAATCATTGAATGGAGATCAAATATTAATATAGGGATTTTAATAATCCTCATAGAATATGCCTGTTTGTTTGAATAAGTTGAGAATATATTTTATTATTTTGCTGTTTAATTATTAACATTTTACCTAATTTACATACATTTTGTGAGTTAACTTTGTAAATTAATTTTCTTAATTATCATATAAATAAATGAAGGAGTTAAAAATAAAAAACTTTCCAAAGGATCTCAATGAAAATCTCTTTCTAGCTAAGGCCAAAGATAAAGTTTTAAAGCCAATAGAATAAAGATAGGGTTTAAAAAATTTGATTCTAACAATGAGCAAATCACCCGTGACTTCTTTATCTAGCTCCTAGTTTTAAACATCTAGACTTGTGCATCCTTAGCATAAATTCCAAGAAACTATTCCTTAATCTACGTAGTCGAACGGGTTTGGATTAGGATCATCCACAACTCGAGGTTTTTCGACTGAGAGACAAAGTCAGAGTAAGGCAGAAGAGATTCTAAGGTATACTAACAACCCTTAGTTTATATTCGATAAAAATTCTAAATTGATTCAAGGAATATTCTCAAAGAAAAATACCTCAAAGTATCTAAGAAGGCCAATATCGGCACTGTAAAAAAGAAATGGTGAAAAATACCAGACTGTAAGTTACTCTATTACAAGATTTGAGAATGATGTGGACAAACTACACCATAAGTAATTAGATCATCATAAGCCCAAGTGTTAAATTGACTTTGAAGGACTTATCTAAGCTGTAAATAACATTATTGGCGACGATTAAGAACAGATTATACTATAAACCTTTCAAAATTACAATTCTTAGAATGTTATTAATCAGGTTTCAAGTAACGATAAATAATTACCACAAATAAAATCCTAGTTGGAAGAAAGTGATGTTTCTGATAATAATTAAAACTAGGACAAAATCAAAGTCTAACAATAGCAAGAACAAAAAATTTCAAAATATGACAGTAAAAGAGAGCAATTAAATAACCCTAATACGAATAATAACAATAGTATTAATCATTATCCTTAGATTCAACAGCAGCAAACTTAAATGTCACATTCAAATTCTCAATCATCCAAATTAAAGAAATTATCGGATAGACCCCTGACTTAAAATGTGGAGAAAGAAGCTTTAAAACTGAGTAGAAATCTGAGCAGAGGTCATCTGATGACTCAAAACACTAATTTAAGGAAAATTCCAGCTAGTAGTCCATTAAATTTCACAGACACTTTATTCATTAAAAGCATATCTAGCTAGTATAATAAGGGAAGTAATGATAAAGGTACAGAGGAAATGAATAAAGACATAAAAAATCATGTCACGAGAGTAGATCTAATACGTAAACCCTCAAATTAAAATTCTCCAATTGAAAATTTTGATTAGGAATAGCTGAGACAAATCTTGAAAAATGAGTAGGTAAAACAACAATATTAACCAGTTTTAATAAAAGAGGCTGATTTCTTGAAAATTGATATGACTACCATAGTAGAGAAAAGATAAGGTTTGAAAGGTTCTTTAATTAAATTCAATAAACATATAGCATCTAAAAAAGAAATAGATTCTAATTCAAAAGATGAAATATATCAAGAGGAAAAGAATAAATTTGACAATCTTATGGTGTCATCTAAGATGAGCGCCACTTAAAATGAGCCTTGGCTCAACAGTATGATGGAAAGAAATTCTGCTATAACTTTAAGATCTACTTCGAAAGAATTTTCACCTAAAAATAAAGCATACATCAGTCCCATAAAAAATTAATAGAACAGTAAAACTCCAATATTGACTGCTTTTGAATTTTGTCCACAATCTCCATAGTAAATCTAACTCTATGATCTAGCTATAGAGGACCCAAATTTTATTAGGTAAAATTTATTGAAACAAAGATATGAAAAGATAGGGTTGAATAATTTTAGAAATACCTAAGGGAGTTTTACTTCTAGAAATCATTAGACTGGGTAATTACTATAGCCACTTAAATTCTCAGCCTCTTATAACTTCAGTTAATACAAAAATTAAAGGAAAAGGGAAAATAAGACAGAGGAACTAAAGAGAAATACTAAGAGAGCGCTAAAAGATTTGAACTGATAAATATTGAGAAAAAGGAAAATATTGATAAATTTAAAAGTTAATTTCATTATAATTTTAATATTATAAGTAAATTTAATGGAATCAATGTCTTCAGCGAACGATGTAATCATTATCATTCAAGCCTATGCAATTATTTGAACCAATATTAGATTCAAGAGGATGAAATAGATGCTACAGACCAACATATCTTAGTGCATCTGCCAGATGGAGAACTCTCAATTGCTGAGAAAGTTGCACCAATGCCAAGAGTAAGTACTAAATTACTTTTCATATGATCAGTTTCTTATTTAATTATGGATAGTCTAAATTAATATGTTATCATTGCAAAGTCATATTGGAGTTTATGGCTGGTGCAGTCCATGTTTAGTGTGGTAATTGCTAAAAAATAAACAGAGTCCCATAGATTGTAAGTATTACTATTTTTAAAGGCTTATACACTTTTAGAACGTATAAAAAGCTTAATGCTAAAAATGCACAGTATTGCTATAATTCCCAACTGGAAGTCGGAAAGTTAGATGCGGTGTGTGCTCTCACGTTAATAACTATAGTTGATCAGCTATTTACCATCAAATTCCCAATAATATTAATATGCTTCTGGTAACCTTAATAAAAATGCATTTTTTAATTTGACCATATCCTAATTTTAAGCAGATTCATGGCTCAAGGGGTTTTGGGGTTTTGGGGTTTTGGGGTTTTGGGGTTTTGGGGTTTTGG